TCACAAAAGGTTGAGTATTGTATGAGACCATTATTATAAAAAGTCACAAAAAGCATTTCACACTAAAAGAAACATGGTCCCAGGAGTGGGAAGGGAGAAAAGTCACTGGCCTAGAGGGTTACACTGTTAGCTTTTGACAAGGTGGAAGGTAATATAAGGAGGGAGGCAAAACAGCTATGGAAGCAGGGTAATACATTAGTTTGCAAAAGTGAAAGGCAAGCAGTGGCACACACAACCCTGCAACAGTGGTGACTAGAGTTTGGATAGACATACAGAGAGCACATGGGACATAGTGGGAGTATACCCCGAGTATACCTATGGATACACAGGGGCTTGACAGATTATACTTGTACATGTGTATTAATCCATTTCATTATATCCATGAATGTGGTGGAGCATATAAAGGCAACGTTATGAAAACACAAACACCTTGAGAGAGTAAGTCATTGGGCTGGAGGATCAAGACCACAGTCTTGGGGATCACCAATGTGAAGTGACATGTAGTTCACAAACACAATGTTCTACATCCTAGAAGTAACTTGTGTTTTAAAAGTTTTAAGAGCAGCCATCTAAGTCACACCTATGGGTCTCACATCATCTAGAGGAAAGGAGTGATGAAAACCAAAATATAATAAGGAAACAAGGAGCCCAACAGACTGTGCACCATGCAGACCCCAGTCTCCATACCGTGCGGCCAGAACCAGATGGTGCCTGGCTACCACTACCAACTGCTCTGAAAGGATCATACCAGAAGGTCTGGATGGAGTGGGAGAAAAATGTGGAACAAAATCCAGACTCATAGCAGAGGCCCTGCTTGCTGGTCCAATAGACAGGTGGGAACCGCAAGGCTAGCCCTTAATCACCTTTCTGGTTACACAGAGCTCACTTCCATGTTAAAATAATCAACCATTTGTATTTGCAATTGCCTCATGCATGTGAAAGTTAGACAATGAGTTGACACAGCACCTAACAACATAAGGTTTGTCATTTATTTAGAAACAAAGTTTACAAAGGGGGTTTCCTCCCACCTTGAGAAGAAAACTAGTGTCACATTTAGATTGGTATATAGCTAAGGTTTTTTTCGGTGGGGGGTGGGGAGCAGAGATTTAAATATTGCGTATATTAATTAAAAAATATAAAGTCACCACAAAATAACAAAAATTTCCAACATCCTACTACCCTTTTTACCTCTCCCCACCTGCCCACCTGAGTCAGAAATGTACCTTCTTACTCAAAAAGTTTATAAACATCGTGGCCCCAAGGTTTAGTGGGGAAGATTACAGAAAATAAAAGAACATATCCATAAGCAGCAGAATCCCAGTGAGGCTTCTAAGAGGTCAGGCTCAGTCAAACTCTTCAGTGCAAGAGTAAGTCCCTCCCCTTCCTCCTGCTCACCATAGTCTTCTTAGGGCATTAACCACCCAGGAAAAGGCAAGGTCCAATCACATGTCAACAAGTGGTACCATTTATTTATGCAAAGAAAATGCTCAATGGTGTTTCATCCTGTGTTTAACCCATCCACACTCATCCTCCACTCCCAACTACCAGATCTTTCCCTGTATGTCATTTCAAGGTCCTTTTCAACCAAACCCTCATAAAGATCATCAGAATTGGTGCCTGATAACTTGATTACCTTCTGAGTCCTGGGTAAAGAGCAAATTAGGCTGCAGGTTGATCGGAGTGGGCCCGTCCTGGCACTGAGCTGGAGGGCTGTGCGAGTCCCAGTCATTGGTTATGTCTTGGAAAGGAGCTCTAGGGCTGTGGGCAATGACCCGCTGGCCCTGTGAATCCTCAGTGAAAAGCTGGCTCCAGGACACCTTGTCTCTTCTTTCACTGTCCCGAGAGAACACAGGGACAAGACAAGGGCTTTGCTTCACCGACATTGTGTTTTTTCCACTCCAGGAATCCCTGTAAGTTTGAAGGGCAGGGAACTGCCTACTCTCTTTAGTGGACACCTTCCTTTGCAATTTAATCTTGTCCACAGGTTGACAGCATTTGCCCACAGGCAGTTTCACACGTCTCTCGGCATCCAGATAGCTCTTTTCCTTAGATCCATGAAGCCATTCCATGCCCTCAGAAGACTCTCCCTTCCCCTTCTTTTGGTCCTTCAAACTAGAACATTTCAAGTCTTGGGGGCAAGAAATTTTCAGTGAGGTTTTACTCCCTCCACCACAGACTGGGGTGTGAGGCAAAGGCAGCGCACTCAAATATGTGCTTTCCACTATTTGATGGCCAGATGTCTCCTGGAGGGACTGAGGAGAAAGTCTACTGTCCTGGATGTCTACAGGGGTCGAGTTGGCTAAAGGGAATGCCACACAATCACCCTGAAAACTCTGGAGAAAATACTCTAGCTGGGCTGCATCTTTCTTAGACTCTTTGCTGGTCTGACTTTCTCTGTAAGTCGAAACACTTGTCTGGTCACCATCACTGGGCTTTCCTAGTAAAAGAAAAAGTGAACCATTATGATTTACAGGAATTTTTGGTTGTTTTTTTCTGAAATAAGAATCAGTTACTACCTATTGAGGTCTTAAGATAACTTCTAATGGCTCTTCTTGTTTTCAGTATCAATTCCCCCCCAAGTTCCCTACTTGAATACTTGGATGCTTCCCTTGACTGCCTAATAAAGTCCCACATGCCATACAATCAGACTACAACCTAGTCTTCCAGCTGGATTTCGTATCTGGGGTTTGTTTAACTTGGGGTAGTACCATCAGTTTTGCTTTTGTCTTTTTATTTAATGTGGCATCTGTAACACAATGGTCCTGACCAATTATCTACTGGATATTGTCCTTTGAGTATGCACAATCTACACAAGTTTAAGGTCTCAACGACCACATTAACTCTGAGAAACTTCCCAGTAACAGGACAAACATTTCTAGGGATTAGGAGTGGAGATATATTAAGGATGGCAGGTCAGCCAGTAGGGAGAACAAGCAACAAGATGGCTTTGACACAGTGGCTGCAACTGCATAGAACAATTGTGAGGCTGATGCAGGACCAGGCAATATCCTGTTTCCTTCTGATGTGCACAGGCTGCTACTGGTTTGAAAGTGACTCAATGGCACCTAACAACAGGAGGGACAATATGAAGCAGCAGCCACAGTTGATTCTCAATTAGCCTTATAAAGAGATGCAATGAACGACATGATGGGTCAACTCCCCAATTCACTCAACCCCCAAGTGCATGTGTCCTCACTGCTCTGTCAGAGAATACAAATATTCAAATCAGAATAAGCAGAACAGAATCAGCTATGTGAACAAAAGCACAGATAAAAAAGCTTCAAAATGTTCATGGAAAAATGAAAAGATGAAAATTTCCACAAACTTTTTGAAGCTCTCTCATAATGCTTTTTGAAAGGAGGTGATTTTTTATTTTATATACCCTCTTCCAATAGGTCACCACCACTTCTCATAAATGTTCCCATGGGAAAATGACTTTTTTTTGCTGCATGGATAATGAAGCACTCCAGTGGGTCACCATACCTGGCTGCAAAGTGAAAAAGGAAGTGATGCTGGTCTGCCGAATGCCTGCAGGTGGAGCACTTCTTTGAGTACAAGAAATCCTAGTCTGTCTTTCTCCTGGAAACAGTGTTAACATTTTGGTGCCTGGTTTGATTAGCTGTGTCTAAGAAAGGGGAGAGAAAGAGTAGAGCCTATTGATATCAAACCAGCACCCAGACAGGAGACCCAATAAACAAACATCTGACCACTTGGAGCACACTGGGCCATCTGGACGCCACTCAGAGCCTGTCTTTCAGGTTAAGTTAGTGCTCCACGGCATCACCTCCCGCCATTTTCCTGCCACTCAGGTGCTGCTGGTTTTTCTCAGGAATCACATATTCCATATAATAACCCTTATTTTTTTGCTTATCCGTGGAAGTCAGCCAGCAGGATTTGTAAAAGACACTGCATTCCAACTCTCACCATCATACTTAGAGATAACAAATCTTTCTACATAAGCCGGACTTGATTTATTTTCAGTAGTTTTCAAACAGTTACACAGTGGTAAAGCCACACAAGTTGAGTTCAAATCAATCCCAATTCTGCCATTGCCAATTAGCTGAGTGATCCTCTGCAAACTGCTTTATCTGCTGCCTCATTCTCATGTGCTCGGTGGGACAATAGTGATACCTGTACCACAAGGCAGTAAGGAGAATTTAGCAGATACACATCAGAGATTATACAGCTCGTGTCTAGTAAGGCAGTTTTTGGTAAGAAGAGGCACTATCAAATAGCACCAATGTCTCTTATCTGAGGTTCCTTTATCCTTTATGGTGTAGAACTAGAAGACAGACATAGAATGGGTTTGGAAATACAAGGGAATATAAAAAAAATTATGGAAAAAAAATAGAATTAAAAGACTGGAGTTATGCTGCCACAAACCAAAGGATCCAGGGACTACCAGAATCTGTAAAAAACAAGGAATCTCCTCTAGATGCTTTGGAGGGATACTGTCCTTGATTTTGGACTTCTGGCCTCCAGACTTATGAGAACAAAATTTAATTTTTTTAAATTTTCCAGATTAACATAATGTGACTATATTTTGTTATGAGAACAAAATTTAATTAAAAAAAATTCCACATTAACATAGTGAGTAAATTGGATCACTAAAATTGGGGGAGATAAAGGTATGAAGTGGTTGGCTTACAAACTTTCATAGGTAGGGGAAAAAAATTCACAGGATTATAGGGTTAAGGTATAGGTGTTAATTGCAATTGTGAAGCTAAGAATTATATACAGGTGCCAGGTTGGCAAGGGGTGGATTGAGTTAGTTAATTGTGCCAGCCTGGCCGATAATCACATGTGGGGCTAACTGAAAGGCAGAGGGATAAATGGGTGGTGAGCCTCGCCTTTCTAGTTCTCGGGTCTCTTGTTTTCTGATGGTTGCACCAGGGCGCAGCTGCCTTAGCAGTTCCCTGATTCAGCTTGCAAGATTGACTTCCTACAAGACATCCCCAAGGAGAAGCCACATGGACCTATCCCGATGCAGCCCTGGGTGCTGGAGCAGCCGTGTGGAGACCCCTGCTAGTGCTGAGATGCTTGTTCGTTCACTGACTCAGCTTTCCTCCTGCAGTCGGCATCATTGCCTCTGTTTTGTGAGGTGGAGGCCTTTGTGGACTGGTGTTGGGTTAATGTTGGACTTGTGGGCTTGGGCAGCATTGGGTTGGGATGTTTTCGTGATGCACATTTTCTTTACATAAAACTCTCTTATCCATATGTTGCTGTGGATTTGTTTATCCAAAGTACCTAGACTAATACAGTGAGTCTATATAGTTCATAAAGCAATAAAGAACAGTTAAGAGTCTGAACTGACTTGATGGCAGTGAGTGTTTCCGTTAAAGCAAAATAAGAAACAAAAAATGAAAACTTTCCACAAACTAAAGCCCCTCATATAACCTCACCTTTATTTAGTGTAATTGTTTTTATTTCCATTTGTTCATTATGTAAGGCCTGATTGTGAGAGAGAGTGAGAGAGTCAATCCTGCAAGGTGCCAAGTTCATTTCTGACTCAGTGAACCATGTGACAGAGTAGAACTACCCCATATTACCAAGTCTTCTCCTCCAGGTGGTTAGTAACTAAGCACTTAACTGTACGTGCCACCAGGGCTCCTTGAGAAGCAAGGAAATAGGATTAAATTCAACCTTTAGAATGAAAAACTCTGACTACCAAACAAACGAGAAATGGGATTTGCCAATATTCATGCAGGAAGTTGGAGGTTGGCCTGAAATTTGAATTCATATTAATGCTAGCCCAAAATGAACCTTATTTCATTTTTCTACTTGGAAATTAAGCTGTACTTCAAGTAGTTAAAAGAAGAAATAAATCTTGGATAAAACACACACAAATAGAAAAATTCACACACTTCAATTTCTAGTGGTACTGTATAGAATTTTCCTTTCCACTGTAAACCACAGGAAAAGTGAACAAAAGATGAGAGTAGGTACCAAAAAATAGTACTACAAAATCATAGACACCTTTATTAAACAAAAATATCAAGATGTGAACACATGTTTCCACACATACTCTCCATCTAGGTCTATAAGCTTCTAGGGGTGATGTTTCTATCTCTCACCCTTCCCTGTAGAATTCTGTGCTCGTCCACATGCAGCACATTAAAATGGCATTTTGGCATATTTGAAGGACTCAAATCGTGTTCCTTTTAAAGGCTGAGTTTGGGGAAACAAAAGGAAACGTGAATAGGAAGACTAGGGGCTATCAAGTGGAGTTAAGGTTTCCCAACAAAATTCAAGCTACCCTCGAAAAATGAGCAGGTACACTGTGATAATGGGGGACAAAATCCTCAGCACAACTTTCCTGGCCATTTTCTCACCAACATACTTTTCAATTTTCTTAAAACTTCTTCATAGTGAGTCCCTGTGATTATCCTCCATCCTTTGATTAAAATCTACCAAGAGTTCCCCTTTGGAATTCCAAAAAAGCAGTCACCGTAACTTCCTGGGCTGACTTCTCTGCTGTGAATCGAGCTGGCCCAGCAGATCCCTTAAGTTAATGTTTTGATTAGACCTTGATTTGAATGCAGGAATCCCTGGTGACATAGTCAGTTACACACTGGAACTGCTAACCACAGGGTCAGCAGTTTGAAACCACCAGCCATACAACAGGAAGAAGATGAGGCTTTCTAAACCCATGAAGATTTACAGTCCCAGAAATTCAAAGGGGCATTTGTGAGTTTTATTTGACAGAATCCTAAGACTAAAGACACGTATATTCTAACAGAACTTGTCTGCAACCAACTATGAATCAGAGGCACGTTTAAGCATGGCTTGTTTAGAATGAGCCCATGCATATAGAAACTGGAACCCTAGTAGCGATTCTTTCTGACTTACCCTAGTACATAAAACAACTTGTTTTACACAGTAGACAACAGGTCATGGAGGACTTAGATGCCTGAGGGAAGGAAAACAAATAAGGCAAGCTCTTCAATCTTTCCAGCTTTTTCCTGGAATCACTCTACATCCAGGCAGAGCACAGCAGTCCTGATAAATTAAGGAATTTGGGAAGATATTCCTGAAACTGCAGGGAAGACAATGACTTTGGAAATCTGTATAAGGGATCCCTTTGGTCCATAGCTCTAAGTGAAATTCGATGAAGTCAGACTAAGACATAATAGGGAATTTAACTGCACACTAGCTGAAAAACTCCCAAGGTTCACACAAGGCTGGAAGCTATCCAACTTCTCACTAGTCCAAGTAGATTCCACTAGTCAGTTCATCTCTCAAAAAAACTCAGTCCATAATATATCCAATATCTTTGCCCATATCACAATACAAAAGCATTAGTTCTTTGGTCTTCCTTACTCATTGTCAATCTTTTATATGCATTTGAAGTGACTGAAAATACCATCACTTGGGTCAGGTGTATCTTAGTTCTCAAAATGACAGCTTTACTTTTCAATACTCAAGAGATCGTTTGCAACCTATTTGCCCAATTCAACAAGCTGGTTGATTTCCTGACTATTGCTTCAATGGGCATTCATTGCAGATCCAAGTAAAGTTTATTAATCTTTGATCACTTTAATGATATTTTCTGCTTATCATGATGTTACTTATTGGCTGAGTTATGAAGATTGTTTTCTTTATGTTGAGGAGCACTGAAATCTGCAGCCTGTGATCTTCATCAGCAAGTGCTTCAAGTCCTCTCTCAGCAAGCAAGGTTGCTTCTCTGCATCTCACAGGTTGTTAAGCAGTCTTCCTGTAACCCCAGTGTCACATTCTTCAAATAGTCCAACTTCTGAGATTATTTGTGCACCAAACAGAATGCATATGCATATGAAAGGATACAGCCCTGACACATACTTTTTCTGATTTTAAACAGTGCAGGATCCTCTTGTTTAAACAACTGCCTCTCGGTTTATGTACAGGTTCTGTATGAGCACAATTAAGTGTTCTGGAATTCTCGCTCCTCACAATGTTACAGTTGATTGTCTTCGCATAGTCAACAAAACACAAGTAAACATCTTTCTGGTGTTCTCTGCTTTCAAGCAAGGCCCGTTTGACATTCGCAGTGATATTTCCTCAGTCTACGTTCTCCTCTGAATCAACTTGACTTTCTGGTAGTTTCCCATCACCCTTTAAAAAGCCACCATTTTAAATCTTCTGCTCATTTTGTTTATTTCATCATTTCTTTTTTCACTTTAGCTCCTCTATGTTTTAGAGCAAGTTTAAGAATCTCTTCTGACATTCATGTTGGTATTTTCTTGATTTTTTTTAATGACCTTTTTGAGTTTTTCCTGTATGATGTCCTTGATATCATCCCACACACAACTCATCTAGTCTTGTGTGATTAGTGATCATTTACAAATTTATTCTTAAGACAGTCTCTAAATTCAAGCAGGATATACTCAAGGTGATATTTTGGCTCTCGTGGACGTCTTTTGATTTTCCTTAGCTCCAACTTTCACGTGAACACAAACAACTGATGTCTCTTCTGCACTGGACCTGGTCTTATTCTGATCGATACAGTGAGCTTCTTTGTCATCTCTATTCACGGATGGGGTCAATTTGATTCGTGTCTTCCATCAGGGGAGGTCCTCATGTTGCCATTTATGTTGGTATATAAATGGTATTTGCAATGTATAGGTCTTTGGTCTTGGAAAATTCTATTCTGCAATCCTGGGCTTGATCATTAAGGTCATATTTTCCAATAGTGGTTCCATGTTGGGCTGTGATCCACATGATTGGCAGTTCGAAATCACCAGCAGCTCTGCAGAAAAAATACTGAGCTTTCAACTCCTCTAAGCAGTTACAGTATCAGAAACCCACAGGGGTCACTATGAATTAACACAGACTCAATGGCAGTGAGGGATTTTTTTTTTCATTCTTTTTTGCTTACAATTTTCACATTTCAATCAGTAATTATTAATTTATCTTACTTGTTTGAAGTTGGTAAAAAACTTCCAATTTCCTCATCTTTGGCATCAATGGTTGAGTCTTTACTGAGAGAGGGAAAACTACTAGATGGTTTTAAACTCGAGTGATCAAAGGATCACTGTGGCATAAGGCATTAATGGTGGAAGTACGGGAAATTATAAAATTCTGAACACATTAGAAGGTAGAGTTCAGAGAATCTGCAGAATGTAAATTTGTAGTAAACTTGCAGAATGTCAGAAATACTGACATTCTGTTCTGTCTCCAAGGCCATCGTTCTTCAAGGTCTGGCTCAGAAACTTCTGATGACTCTGCCAAGATTTCTGCTATCTTCCTATTTCTCTCTGTCTTAGTTATCCCCACTTTCTTTCTCCGATACATTTTTCAAGGGTAAAGAACTACCAAGTATCATGTTGCTGTAGTTAGATGTCCTCAAGTTGGTTCCCACTCAAAGCAGCCCTTCGTAAAGCACCATGAGACACTGACTGGTCCTGTCCTGTTTGAGCCCACTGTTGCAGCCACCGTGCCGGCTCACTTTGTCCAGGGTCTTCCTCGTTTTCCCTGCCCCTCTGCTTAGCAAGCGTGATGCTCTTCTCCAAGGACTGGTCTCTCCTGATAACATGTCCAGAATAGGTGAGAGCAAGTCTTGGTCATCCTTGTTTATTACTTCTTGAATTAGGAATAAACCTTTTATACCATTAAAAAGGTTGGAAACTTGCTGTTTGCCAGTTTAATTTAAAAAACAAGAACTTGAAGAAAGCTAGTACGAGAGAGAGAGAAAAGGAAGAGACAGCCAGTAATTGCCCATGTCTGTAATTCTGACCATCCAAGTCTCACCTATTTCATTTATGATGTAATGGTAGCCTAACCTCTTATTGTATACGTACAGTCAAGTACTCATGACCACAATCACTGCCACCATTTCCATCTCTTCTTGCTACTTGTGGGCCAAATATATCTGTTAGGAACTTTGGTTCCCTGGCTACTGCTTATTCCTCTGACTCTTTTGACTTCTGAGTGTTGTAGGAAGACATCAGACTTGTACTCCACTAGAATTAAAAACAAAAGTTTGCTTGAAGGAATTGAAAACATTTCACTAAAAGGAAAGACATATCAACCAACATTCAGGTATAATAATAAAATGTGCTCTGAGTTACAGAGAACAGTTTTTATAAAGTCACAGGCAGGGCAGGGTGGGGGGAGGAAAAGCATAACAACATCCAAAAACGGTGTGTGAAACTATACATTTTCTTAACATGTTAGCAGAACTTGAGGGGAAGATCTCAACGACAGAACATAATGAAGTCTTATTTGGAGGAGTCTGGCTGATTGGTGTTTGATAATAAACAATAGATTCCTACTGCATATTCTGACTGATTTTGACAAATATGAGAGGTCTTCAAAAAGTTCATGTAAAAATGGAATTAAAAGATAATGGGATTTTCCCATGAACTTTTTTAAGGCCCCTTGTATGTATATTTCCCTGTATCTCATACCCACTGCCAGCAAGTCCATTTCCACTCATAGCAACCCTACAAAGAGTTCCTGAGTTCCTGAGACTATAAATCTTTCCAGGAGCTGGCAGCCTCATCTTTCGCACATCTAGCAGGTGGTGGATTGGAACTACCAACCTTGTGGTTAGCAGTCAAATGCCTATCATATAGCACCACCTATAAATTAGCCTTTCCCTGTATATAAGTGGGGGGAAAAGAGGTTGCCATTTTAACTGTTTATAATACAATAAAGTCCTTACTAATTTGCACACTACTTCACAAACTAGAGAAGAACAAAAGCGTTACCCAGGTACAAAGACAACTTTAAATTGCTGATTTAATGTCTGATACAATACATAACTAGACCTTTCAGAAATACCTGTTTTATAAAGAATGAGTTTCATATCCCTGACGTGACACAAATTCAAGGCACCAGAAAGGGACAGAATTTTACATTGACCAAACAAACATAGATCTGTGGTAGTTCTATAATCTGGTGTCAATCTGAGACTTGAGAGTGAAGGGGTGAAGTTTGGCCTGTCAATCAGGTCACAGCTTGATGACCTCATTTGGAGGCACTAAGGAGATAAATAGCTCCCTAGAGGCGACACTGGCTGACTCCCTGGGAGACATTCCTTCTCACATGACACATGGAGCTACCTACTAGAGCCCTGGTGCTGGGGGAGCCACGTGGAAACCCCTGCCAGCACAGAGATGCTGCTACCGCCACTGGATCCACGGGCCTGCCATCCTCCTGCACTCGGCATCATTTCATGTGTTTCATAAGTCTGAAGAGAACTTTATAAGTTGGTATTGGACATATGGGCTAATATCAGACTTATGGACTTGATCTGGACTGGACTGGGGTGTTTTCTCAATATTTAATTGCTTATATAAGACTCTTTCTTACACACGAGTGTCTCTATGAATTTGTTTCTCTAGTCTACCCAGACCAACACAGCATCTCATATTTTTCACTTTTAAAGCAAACACATTCTGGAGCTAGTGATTTCCCTCCTGGAAATTCATCCTACAGATATATTTGCACAAATCCATAATGATGTCTATATAAGATATTTTGTTGCTGAACTGTTAAATAACAAAACATTAGATCAATACCAAACCCGATTCCAATTCAGAGACCCTAAAAGACAATGTAGAACTGCTTCTTACAACTTCCAGGACTATAAATCTTTACTGGAACAAACAATCTCATCTTTCTCCCTTGGGGTGGCTAGTGGGTTTGAACTGCTGACCTTGCAGCTAGCAGCCAAATGTTTAACCCATATAAATAGGTATACATTAATGGCAAAGTGGTCTATATACTGAGCTGCTAATCACAAGGTCAGCAATTTGAATCCACTAACTCTCTGCTATTGAGTCAATTCCAACTCACAGCAACCCTACAGGACAGGCTAGAAGGACCCCTGTGAGTTTCTGAGACTGTAACTCTTTCGGAGAATAGAAAGCCTTGTC